ATATATATCATGATAATTATAGTTTAAATTACGTGCAATTTTAGATTTTAAATTTAACCTCAGACACTTGGACGGAATTAACCTATATTTTTAAATTTGTTGAATGAATATAGGTTAGGGATTTATTTTTCGCAAAGAAAATACGTTGTTTCGTTTAAAAATATTTCACACGAAAAGATATTACGATCTTACATAGTTTTATTTATCGTAGAGTATTGAAATTTAATATATAGCACAGGATGAATTATTTTTAATACCACTTTAATCCAACGCAACAATGTGTTCACGCTGAATTAGTTACTGACCCACAGCCCAACTGATTAAATCAGATTACGTTAATATATTCCGTTAGTACAGTCATGCAACAAGGGAATATATCTGTCTAGATCAACTAGATTAAAAATAATTACGTAATCCATGGATTTTTGTTTATCTGTCACTTTTAACTAAATTATGTTTCCCTCTATTGAGAGAAAATTTCCATGAAATGTTAAACCAATGAGAAACAGTTGTTCAATATACACAGTGATAACATTCTTATTAAGCAAAAAATATGGAATAAATTTTTATTCTTTTGTTTTCGTTTAGAGAACTTCATTTTCGAGGAAATTAAATTCATAAATATCCACTTTAATAATAATAATAGAAAAACAAAATAATGAGATATTAAAAATTTGACGAGACGAAAAGAATTTTTAAATTATGATAAAATAAAAAACACTTTTTCGTTGCAATCAGATAATAAAAAAGGTAAGTAACGTTAACAATGAATACGGAAAATCAAGGACAACTCTTCTTATTTCTCAAAAATAAATTCACCCAAAAAACGAAGCAATCTTATCCGCGCGCTCACTTTGTACACTTTGTTTCAATTTACTTCGAAACGAAATACAACATAATCGTTTCTACGAGTGAAAATTTCTCCTTTAATATAGAAATCCTTATCCAGAGCATGACTTTTCCTTTTTTTTATTTTTCAGGGGCGGCAGAGAAAAGCTCGAAGCACGGTGCCGAGGATAAGGCGAACAGCATAATCACGGCGATGAAGGAGAGAATGAAGCAGAGGGAGCGAGAAAAGCCCGAGATCTTCGAGCTGATTCGGTGAGTTCTTCTTGGCACATATCTTTTCCTTCTTTCTTCTCCTTTCTTTCATTTTGTCGCAGCATAGTTGACTCGACGGAAAAGAAAAAAAAAAAAAAGAGTGTCGATCGATGGCAACGAACGAGTGATCAGGAGAGAAACTCAGTCGATCGATCCATCCGATGGCTGGATCGTCGCCATTGCTTTTGCCAAACGCGAAATGGAAAGTTGACAATTCTCAATTTTAGATTCGACGTTATTATAAACGTGATGTTACGAATTACGATAGCCACTGCTTCAAAACAGCTGCCTTCGAATCCTTTTGAAAATTTAACAAGAATATTGAAAAACGTTGATTCCTATAAATTAAATTTCAAATTTTCCCGAAATACAATTTGGGAATCGATCGATCGAATCAATAAAAGGAATTAATTTCACGATTGAAATTCGAAGCTTAAATTTTCCCCCGAAATTTTCAAATCGGGGGAAATACATATAAACGGATCTTGCTCTCAAAAAAAATTCAAAAAAGGGTTGAAAAACACTTCGATTAAACCCGATTCCAAACACGATTCAACAAATTCCACCCCCCTCCTCCCCCTTTCCCAAAATTCGAGCAACTTGTTACACCGAATCCCGATTCAAAAACCGAGGAAACCGAGGAAAACAAGCCCGCGTGTTATTCCACTCCCACGAATTAACTAAAATTCGGGCAAATTGTAAATCTCTGTTACGCTCGAGCGTAATAAAGTAAAGTAAAATGGTGGCGCGAAGTTTTCAAAAAAAAAATAAAAAAAGAGCTCTCGAAACTTTGTTTTTTATTTTTTTTTTTTTTCCTTCTTCTTTTTATTTCCCCTCCTCGCATTTTCATGGAAGGGAGGGGAGGGAGAGGGGTCCAGTGGAACGTAGCAAATTTGCGGGCAAATAGACGGGTATTCAGAATGTGCAGCGGCAGTGAAATAGGTGAATTTAGGTTAGTCGTACAATACGAAAGAGCCACGAAAGCGGCCACGAACCTTAGAACCGTTTTGCTGACTGGTTTACGCGACAGGCGACGTCGCGTTATTTTTTTTTTTTTTTTTCTTCTTTTCTCTTTTTTGTGGAAACGTCTACGTCTACACGAGAGAGAAGAAGGGCGGATTAAAAATATTCCAACGGTTTTTCCTCTCCCCAGTTTTTCTCGAAATGAAGAACTGTAACTAATACGCTTTTGTCCCTCGCCACGGTTACGAAACGGGCGAAGAATTATGCTGCGCAAGAACTCGGCCAGGCTTGTTGAGTTGTCGGGTGAAACAATTGGAGAACTTAGTTCTTCGAACGGGGTTGGAAAGAAGGAGGGACGATGGGTTGACTAAAATGTACAGATCGGTTGGAGCGGGACGAAATTTTTTGAAAACAGAGGTTGTTTGTTGATGATGATGTATAGTCGATTTTTAGAAATTGGAAGTATTGGAGTGAATTTGTTTTGACAATGGAAAGATAGATACATTTTTTAATTATAGGTTATTATTTGTAGATAAGTTCTGAGGAAATATGGAGATTGTAGGAATGAATTAGTAAGAATTGGAAAATTCGTTTATATCTAATAAAATTATTGTGAATAAAGAGATAGATATTCGCGAGTTTCTTAATTACAGATGATTTTTAAAAATTGAAAATTGAAACGAAAGATATATAGTAGAATTGAGATCAAGTTCGTTGATTAAATGAATTTTTTTTGTAAAAATCTACGAATTTGTTATGTTACGAGATATGTTCAAGGAAAAATTACAAAAAGACGAATCTAAGATATTATCACCTCGCTATTCAACTTTCGTGATACGAGGCTCATTGGAAATGATTCGAGCAAGCGGCTTAACACTCCATTACCGGGATCATAATTTATATTCAGCCCGATATTGACGTGGAATTATAGTGACAACGTCTGTTCGAAACCAGATAAATAGATGGATGTTCTCAAATGAAAGATCCTCGGTGTATTCTCTTGTTCAAAGACACGAATACTCGATCATGGAAGAACAGAATTAAACACGTGGTTGTAAAACTTTTACTATTTGTTGAAATACGATGAAAAATATATCTCGAATATATCGTTATTAAATATCGTTTTCACAATCAAAGGTTTATAACTTTGTCCAAACGATAAATATTCGCAATACATGATCCTTATACGATCAATGTAAATATTTGGAAAATTATTTTGCTATGGTTCTATATATTCTTGACACGATATCTCTGTAACGACTTGGTAAACAATAACATGCGTTGAATTATGAAACCCTTCTTATAATGATTGAAGCGTTGGTACTAGTTTTCCTCAATCGATGAAGTTGGAAAGCATTTGCGGTCAACGAGTTGCGAAACTCGTTAAGTCTCGTTCATCAGGGAACATTAAAATGTATAACAATACAGTTGGAAAAATCAAAGAAAGCTTCTGAGTAATATTCATAACTGTTGCATTATTCACAAGTGCCGTTTTAACACCGTTCGTGTCGTCGTAGCATTTTTTAAAAAAAAGTAAAAAAATTCGTATCGAACTCATTCAGTTAGTTGATCAACGATGCTTAATTTTCTGAAAATATACTTTTCAATCCCCTAAAAATTAATTCGCAATATAATTCTTTTCGATCAACGATATTCTCATAAATTTTCTTCTTCTTTTAAAATTTTCTCAAACTTTCACTCTATCTTCATCGCTAATATCGATTTCTCTGTCAAAAGTATTAAAATCGGGTTTAACCTAATCCGTCCACCATTTTCCCGATTGCGTTCCTGGAGAATATTGGAATTAACGACTTCGTCCCATATATAGATTTAGATTTGAAACATAGGAAATCTTGATTTATCGATTTCAAGGATTTACATTGTAAAAATATTTCACGCAGCATTTTTTAATCACGGGTGAAAAATTGTTCCATCTTCGATGTCGCGAAGCCTTGTTTTAGAGATTAGTTTCTTCGCGATGCATTTACATTCGTCTTCTGGAAGAAAACTTATGTGCGATGGAATGTTATCCATGGTTTCGCTTTATCGAAAAATGTCGAGAATCTCGTGAGAAATGTGTTACACAGAGATCGGCCATTTTGAAGAATCAGATTCTTTATCTCTTTCTTACGCGTTCGTTTCCATAATCACGAAGAATTCATCCTTGGAATATAATCCTTGTCGATTTTAAAGATAATCACTTACGTACATATATATAAAATATATATGTAGATAGGTATCTTTACGATTGTCAGTCTATGTCTATCATACGTTATTCTCTTGTCACTAATATATCGACGTCAAAGCCGGTATGACGTTGCAGAACATTTATTCGAAAGAAAAATAGGGATAATATATTTTGATGTTTTGATAACTCTCGTGATAAAACTCGATATTTTTAAAATATTTGCATATCGAAAATTCGTTGGGTATAATATAAGTCCCCTAATTAAAATGAATTAAACTCTTAATAAATAGCAGGGAAGTACATTTAAATCTTAGAAAATATTTACGAGAGCTGTATTACATGCGATAAGCAGGACATTTTAATTATATTTCCAAGACACGATCAAAAATCAAATAAAAGATAAATGAAAATTCAACGACTCGACGTTTTATATATATATAATGTTTTAAAATCTATTCACGGCGTACTTCGATCCATTACCCCATACAATTCTACGGATTCTACTGCTATCGATCATCGATCGGACTCATTATCAGTTATTAAGTAATCAACGGTCGGTCGAGATTGCAATTTCCGGGTGCAAAATTGTCGCCGTTCCAAAGTGTGGCGGAAAGTGGGCTAAAACTCGCGTCCACTTCCCCCTCCCCCGTAAACTTTGGGCAAACAATTCGACACGATTGATCGTGGCGATAATTCGACGGCACGCGTTGATAATCGGCCGCCAGGATGGCTGTTTCCCTGATCGCGCCTTCACACATTGGGAAATTAATCAGCGATGCAGCTGCCTTCCAAAGAGCTATTATCGATGATCCGCAGCTCATTAGTCGGGATCCCGTAATGAGACAATACCAGGATGAATTAGTTAATCGATCGGTACCGTTTATATCGTGACACACGACGATCCGATATTTTAGGCGATTAACGATCCGATGATTAGGTTTGTTTCGATTAGACTAGTTTTTTTTTTTGGAACTAGCAAAGTATATAACTG